GGGGGGGGGGGGGGGGGCACACTGTGGCTTACCCGGGGGGGAGGGGAGGGCCCCCCCCCCCCCGAGATCTAGCTGAAAGAAACCCTGGTAGTGATACCAAACTGTTGTATTAAAATCGTTGAAGGCATAGAGCTGATTTGCGAGTTATAAAAGTATTTTGTAAATGTCGGTGACTGGATCTTATAAAATATGCCAAAATCCAACGCTCCACTGCAGAACAGTTGGATCATCTATTTTATTTTAAAAACCATCTCTATTTTTACAATCGCCGCGGTTCTGAGGAACAAAATAATTATGTAACAAAACTACGTCACACGCTTGGTAGCAGTCAAAGGCGATGGTGAGTGAAGTTGTCGCTAGGGCGAAAAATCAAAATATTACTGTTGACGCAGCCAGCTAGTTCACTGCGACTGTGACACACAAAGCAGCAATAGGACAATCACCATCAATTCCATCAATACGATGCGTCGCGGTTATTTATTTATATCTTCTGACACTCCCACCAATCCCCTACCCATGCGTGTCTCGTATGCCACAATTTCCATAATAAACAACCCCACCTCCCCACTCCCCATGAGTACTTTCGAAATATAATAAGGATGGTCCCAACTTTAAAAAAAAATAATAATACAACCAATCGTTTTTCTCGTTCATATTCACTCCAGATCTTCATTAGAGAGGGCTAAAACGCCCAAACCCGAAATTTTATTAATTTTTTTAAATTGGGGAAAATTTTTTTCCACCGGGTCTCTGAAAATCGTAGTTTTGGAAGGTCTTGGCATACAATCGTAAAAGACATCTAAAAATCGTACATCGTACGCCAAAATCGTAAGAGTAAAAAGGTCTGAAAACGCTAAATTTTATCACAACAGGGAACACACCTAAGCACAGGTGAATCCATTGTTGACCAGTCACTTCCATTTTCGCAGTTGGACAGACCAGAATTCCTCAACATCTTGAAATGCTGTCTGGCTGGTTCAAGCCGGGCGCGTACGCAGGGTGAGCCGTCAGAGTCTTCCCCGCTGTTGTTGCTGATCAAAGACAGCGGCCTCATGGGGGTTTTCTGATTTTAAAAAAAAAATAGTTCTTTAAGATGACATCGAACAGTTAAAGTAAAACACAACTTTGTAAGGAAGCATACAAAAATTAAGAGAATGACATGCAAACAAGTGGTGGTCTCCCCCCCACCTCAGTGAATAGGTTACATATTTTAATTAAAAAATACCCCAGGAATTTTGATGTCAGTTTTCTTCTGCTCCTTCCGGTGCCTTCGAAGCGATCGACCTCGAAGTGGGATTTTATTGCTGCTGGGTTTACGCAAGGTTTGTCGATCATCACATATTTTTCTGCAAGAAAATGATGAATTTATTTTAAATTTATTTCATTTAAGTAAACGTGTAATATAGCTGATAAATTATGAAGACACATTAAAGTTAAATCATTAACGTGTAATTTCCCACGCAGAAAATTATACCCACTTTCTAATAGAAACGTTAAAACTTATTTGATAAATTGTTTAAGCTTCGTTCCTAAATGAACATTTTGTAATCACTAGACTAAAGTCTAATATTGTGAAAGAGTCTCAGTCTATATGGTATATAACAAACAGGACCCGAATAAAGTGAATCTACCTTATTGCTTTATCCACTTCTTCGCTCCAGTCCTTGGCATTTTTTCTGTCCTCTGAGTACAAGACAAGACTTTCTTCTTTGCACGTCAGCTGCAAACAGAACCCAATACACCATTTACAAACACATTGAATGGAAATCATACAAATGTTGTCCTTAAAGCGCTAATGAAAATTGAACATAACTTGATGCTATGATATTCCCAACTAATAAACTTAACTTTCTTCAGCTTTTTATGAAACCAATATTTAAAAACTTTTTTTTATTTAGATAAAACTGATATATTGTTTTTTGTTTTAGGTTACATTATATTTTTTTTATTTCACCAAGTCAATAAAAAAAAATCTTGAATTTGTGAGTAGTGTTGCCGATTGAAGGAAACTTTTCAATCTCAGTGTGTCAAAATAGACATGAAGATCTACTTACTCTAAAAACACCACCAGTGTCGGACTTGCTAAAGCTAGTGATAAACACAGGTTCAACCTTGCAGTGCCGAAGAGGAAGCACACACGAGCACGTGTAGAGCTTCCCTCCTCCGTCAAGGAATTTCGGTTTGCCATACAGGAGGATGTCAGAGAAAAGGAAGAACATGCGTTCGTAAGATTTTCCACCTTTCCGGGACACCTAGAGGGGTGGAAAAAAAAGTAGTTCAAATGATGAACAAATTTGTTCAAATCTAGAATACACACTCTTAACTTGTTCAGATCTAGAATCCCCATTGTAATTTGGGCAGTTGGCACTTTTTGAAAAGCCCTAGCCATACTAAATAAATGACATGAAGTTAAATTTAAAAGCATCATAATTTAGCTTTCTCTAATCTATTTTTGGGGCATTAATGACAATGGGGAAAATAGTTTTTTTTTCAACTAATCATGCTTACCTCCCTCCCAACACCAACATTTTTTTAGGGGTAAGAATTTGGGGAAAACTAAATTAACCTCATCATTATACAACAAGTATCTCTCATTTTTATTGAAACATGGTTTTAAAAAATCAAATCAAAAACAATGGAACATGAGCAAATTAAATTGGTGATGATTTTTGTGTTCTAGTTACCTTTTTCAGGGGACCCTCTTTGATGAACTGTCGACCAGGGGCCAATAGCTTGGGGGCTGAGCTGTCAAAACTCCTCTGAATGGCCAACATCTTCATAAAGTTCTCATTCTGACGTATGTGCTCATTGATGTGAGAAGCGATTTCAGCAATTTTCTCAGCTGCCTCTGAAATAAAAAAATCAATGTAAATCACACATGTGCATGACAGACATCTTCAACATGCTTTCTGCATACTGATTTCCATTGATTTTGTAAAAAGCATGTCTTAATAATAATCAGCAGTATCAGACCTGTTTATCCTCAAACTCTTAAAATCGTATATCATCACAAAATTGTTAATACATTATCTTAATAGTAAAAAATAAACATATAATATATATAATGTATACATCTCAAAATCGTACATTGTACGCTAAAATTGTAAAAGTAAACAGGTCTGCAGTATACAAGTTTACAAGGGGTGGGCAACTAGTTTGAGGACATGTACAATGAAAATCAAGTTTAAATACAAAAAGACCAACCGGAAAGACTTATGTAGTCATGATGTTGATTTGGTGTGTTCTTTAACAGCTCTTCCAACAGCATCTTGTACCTGATTGTATGGGAGAGGGTAAATTCACTGACATGATTTTTCTTTTGTTAAAAATACAAAATTTACAATGAATATATTCCTTTTTAATTTTTTTTTAAAAACCTAATTAAGTGAATGATTTTACTGGTCAATTTACTGAAGGGTGCAGCAATGACGCATCAGTTTGAAGTAACCCAGGGCTTCCCAAATTTCCCCCACCAACACATACCTCGGAATGCGCTGAACAGGTGTTATCAAGAGTGCATTGAGTTTAAGGCCCATCACCTCTGGGCGATCTTCTTGTCTGGCTATAAAAGCTGTAAAGTCAGGACTTTTGGCCTGCCATTCCTGATGAAAAGATTTAAATATAGCATATACTTTATTTCGCGTTGGGGGGGGGGGGGGGGTTTTTATAAAATAGCTTTTGGGGTGATTTTTTTTTTTTATTTCGCGTTGGGGGGGGGGGGGTGTTAATATACTAGCATTTCAGGTGAATTTTTATTTTTATGACTGCAGTTTTATTCTTGAAATGGCAAAGCATTATTTCATTAAACTTTTCAGAATTAGGTTTAACATGTATTTATGGGCAACTCGGTTTAAGACACAGGATAAGTAAGATGGTTCAAAAATCCTGTGGTATACCAGGAAAAAATGTTGCTCGAGTATTTGGACTATAAACTAACAGAAATTCACATCCTAAAATTTGCAGAAAAATTAAGAAGAAGATAGCTAAAACACTAACCTGTAGTGTATTCAGTGCGTACTGGTGATTGTTGGCATACGTGGAGTACAGCTTGAGAAATGGTGCAAGTTGGGAGAAAGCTTGACCTACCGTCGTCTGTTCCAATGTCTCTAGTAACGTAACATTAACCTCTCGGATTTGTTCCAGGTTGCTGAACAGCCTGGCATGTACATCATCAGGTACAAGACATGCGAATCTCAAAGGGAAGTCAAAAAACTGAAATTTGAACAGAATAACATTTCATTGCAGCTTGTGCTTCCTAACAGAAATTGTGGGTGGATTTTTATAATGGCTAATACAAAATATAATTAAATTTTTAAACATCAAGCAAACCAGTAATAAACTTTTCATTATTAATATATTATTGAATGTAACTCCTTTGAATATAATATCTCAACCTTATTGACTAGCTCCAAGTGACGTAGGTATGTTCTCTCTGTGTCAAAGAGTTCTTTAACAACTTTTCTCCGCCGCCTTTCTCTCCGAGCCGTCTCCTGTGCCACTTTATCACTTGGGCTCGTGGCATAAAGAACTGCCTCCCCTGAGAGGGACATTTTAAGTCACCTTAGTTAAATAAAGAAAAGAAAATATTTGAATGAATTAGTTTTTGATGGATGCAATATTATTCCCTAATAGAGAAAAGAATACAAAACAAAATTATTAGTGAAATAGAAGTAAACAAGATATTTGGGCTTAACTATTTCAATATAATGAACTATAATCAATTTTTATGGGGAAATGTGTCTAAAAAACACTAGTTTTGCTGACTTTTCCATTAAGCAGCATGGGGTCTCTAGTGTAACATTTTAGCCAATTACAAAGTTTTCATGACTCAGTTATTTTTTATGTTTGAACATGATAAAATGATGGTACTATTTATTAAGTGAAATACTTCTGAGAGCACGATTTACACTGGAAGTATCAAAATCTGAAAATCACATGTTCATTAATGCATGCTAACTTGATGATTGATTACTTGCATAATGTTTGGGTCAGTGCTATTTTAGCATACTCACAGTGCTCTGATGTCATAAATAAAATCTATTTAAAGAAAAAAGTCTTTAAATGTTTCTTAAATGATTTTCTTTAAATTTTTAATTTCCCTCAAAGATTGAGGCAAACTGTTCCATACTTTAGGTGCTATAGCTTCAAAAGTTAATAACAAAAATAAAAATGTATCATTTTTAAAAGAAGATGGCTATGGAGCAGAAAAAGCACTTCATGTTTAGTGGGGATGCAACGAGCTCCAGCAAATTTTAATTCAAAATTACTAAGAAAGCCAAATTAAAATATTTTGATGAGATTTCCCAAATTTTTTTTACTTTTACACATCAAAAATTATTATTATTATACATCTCTCTTTGGTTTCCTTTCTTTGTTTTTTTTTTTCTTCCTAAAAATTTAGCAGCACAAATCCAGTCTATCTTAGTTACAAAGTGTTGCCTCAATGATAAAAGTTTGTGATTCAAACCTTAGGTGGGTTATGTTTACATTATTAAAGGCTTGGATTGATGCTCACCACTTCATAATTACTACCCTTCAGAAATGTATATTTAACAAATATTTTAAGACCATTTTATTCTGAATATTCTTAATAAATAAATTTTTGTCATTGTGATTTTTTCCTCCTGAAACTTGGTTGTAATTTTCACTTATTAATAATAAAATGTTAGTTTTATTGAGGACCAACTGCACTCCATTTTTTTTCTTCATTATGCACCAACCTCTTCCATCTACCCCCTTCTTCCATTTCCACTTGCTCTATATTCTACCAGGTAAACTAACCCAGATCTAAATCCTTTCTCCAACCCAAACCTCTCACATGAAACAGCAAATAATGTTATTTTCTTGTTCTCCTATCTCATAAAACTACCTTCATAAATCATACTTTGGTAAGAACATTCCTTTCATTTATATTACATCAAATAAACTTTGAAAACTATGCATTTGATCATAATGTAAACAAAAAGAGCCAAAACAAAAACAAAACAAAACCCAAAGAGCTCTCTGCTTCCTTCTCATGCATCCCGGTTCAGGCGTATTCTCTTGTATATCCCCAACATATTTCACTTCTTCTACACACATTTTACTTTTTTTTTTAAAGTTAGGTAAGTAAGCTTATTAAATAATAGTAAGGATTAAAAAATGTTTCTACCATTAATTACACTCCTTTGTAGTTGCTTGAGTTTGTATAAGATCATAATACATGAGTTATAAGACATAACATGTGTTACACCCAACAATGTGAAAAAACTACTGAGTTGGTTGGATTTATAAAGACAGAAATTGTCAGAATTAACTTGACCACTAGTGGAGCTAAAAGAACAGGGACTTTGACTTTATTGTAGTTTCAATTTTTTGTCACCGTCACAGAAAAGTGAATTAGGATGTCCCTCTTTACTTTCACTTTTAGTGTGTGGTTAGTTAGTTAGGCTAGTATTAGTTCTGGGGCTTTATTATTGCTACTATATTTATATAACTATATTTATTAGTATTACACCGGCTGTTCCTAAGCAACCGTTTCATCGCAACTGCTTCATAAATAGGTGGGAGGTAGAAGCCCACAATGGAAATCCCAATCAATTAGAGGGCGTCTGGTGCTTCTCTGGGATGGGAGGGGTAAGATTTGAGGACATAAATATACCATTTACTGTGAGAGTGAGAGAAGCATCACCGGGGGGGGGGGGAACCAGATGTCCTCTTTTTACTTTTGGTACCCGATCGAGTGGTTCCTGGCGGGCCTGTACTCTGGCTTGGAGGTTGGGGTGCTTTGGGAAAGGCATAAAGTCTAAAGAGCTAGGGCTTGGTATAAAGCTAGACAGATTGCTGACACCATTTCTTAATGTACAATAATATAATAATAATAATAATTCAGTAAGTATTAGTATTAGGATTAGACCCCATTAGCCATTAGATCTACGACTACTAGTAATGACAATCACGTCATGAGTCTGGGTCATTTCTTCTTTAGTTTTTACTGTGAAAAGTGGAGTGAGTGCATCATTAGTTAGTAATAGTCGTGACATGTGTTAGGACAGTTACCTTGACTTAAAAAAACTGTTAGTAGTGTTTTAAATTTTAGACTACGCCTACTTCTTTGTTTTTATCTTAAACTTTAATTAACTAACTCGTCTAGTACTAGTGAGTGAGTATGCGTAGGCCGTAGTTATAAGTTATAGTAGAAAGGAGGGTAAGTCTGGTAAGTCTTACTTACACTAGTAACGGTAAGGTAAGGGAAATTAATTTCAAAATTTGAGGAAGAAACACACAATTTTTATTGTGAATTCTATGTGTAATTGCATTAATCTAATAAGCCTAAGCATATGCTATGAAGAATGATAGAAATACTTACAAATTTTGTCTAGAATTTCTATTAATTTTGAATTTTGTATCACGGAAGAATAAGGTCAAAGGTCAAATTATAGCAAATATGGATTGGCAGAAATATTTAAAATTATTTGTTTAAAGAACGTTTTAGATATTTATATTATTCCAAACACTAATATAGTTAATTAAATTTTAAAAAGTAGTAATTAGCACTTTTTGTATTTATCAAGTATAAAAATGTAATTAAAATGATAGTAACATTTGGTATGGAGAAGAAAAATAATTTTAAGTTAAAGTGAATCTAAATACCGAGAGCATATTTTCCCTTGATTTAACTTTAACAAATTCCAGATAAGACTGAAGTCAAGTCAATAGGTCGTACCCCCGAAAACTGGACATAAACATCGGTACACAGCAGCTCCGACATGCCACGTTTTAAAAAATACCCAGTAAGCATTTCGCTTAGGCTTAGGGCAGAATAATCGACAAAGGGATGAAAAACAAAAATGCAGAAAGCAACACAGCCAACTCCCTTAGACTCACTAAATGGCATTTACTGTTACAGTATCAGTAGTGTACTAAGCCATCCAAGAATTAACGATGGAGACCAAGACTATTAAACACTGTCTTTATACCACCCTTACAAGTACCAGACTAGGGGCCATAAATAAAAAGCTTAAGAAAAACTCTTCACCTGTGAGATGAAATATCTAATGCGAGCCACTTGACCTGTAAAACGACAAGGGGCCACATTTGAAACTAGGAACGTAGGAATGAATAAGACAAATACTTAGTGCCATAATCATACCAATCAGCCAATATAGCGGCAATATAGCCTAACAACAAATTATTGTTATGGCCACCCGGTCAGCAAACACTTCAGCAGACGACGCCAGCGGTACCAAATGAATATTCAGCGGGCTTTGCTGTAACGTTTTGTGGCAGATCGCCAACCCTACCTTCATGTGAGACCACCCTGCAACGCCTCCTCTGTAGGAGAAAAAAAAACAGAAGAACAAACTTATTACAAATGCAAATTTTTTAAAAGTATTAGTATATTACTGCTTAAAATAATGTAATCACGGGCATATGAGGCAGGTGTGAAAGAAAAAAAAAGTGTGGGAGGGGGGGGGGTGTCCACCCTTTAAGACATGTCTGGTTCATTAATGATGTATACTTGCTGTGTATGCGCATTCTTTATGTTATATGTATTTTTAGTGATGGCAAATTAAAGGACTACACAGAGCGCTACAAACGAGCTAATTCATTGAACTTAGTTATTTTTTATTGATTCAAAAGAAATGATCTGAATGAAATGAAAAGAGATTTAAGTTCGAGTCCAGTGTTGGTTGAGATTAGGTGAGGTGGGCCAGTGTTAAGAAGAAAGGCCAATTATTACAAGCACAAAACACACATCAAGTTAAATTAAACTATTTGGTTTCATGATTACTTTTAATGTTAATGCATACATTTTTACAAAAATACATCTTTTAATTTTTTAAAGAGTAAATGCATATTTCGGCAACAAGAGAATTTATATCTGCATTCCATATCCGGTCTTAACAAAAAATAAAAATGTTGGCAACATTTTATACAAAGGCAATTTTTCAGACATTTCGTAGTTCTCTTTCAATTAAGGAAATATACGCAAATTAAGTATTCAAAAAATACTTAAAGAATCAGCAGGTTTGTTTGGAATATCAAATGTTCAAGCTATTGAAATGATGTTTTCGTTTTCTTGCCGTTGTTATAGACGCCGAATGACTGACAGAATGAATGCATCATATCTTAATATTAATATCTGACCATTCACAAAACAATCAATCACACTTCGAAAGCCAAATAATTGAAAATATTTTAAATATTTATTTTTTAAATTATGGTTTCATATGTGTCACGCACATTGATATGTGTAATGCACAGTTGCGCACTTAACCAAAAATTACATCGTTACTGCTTCCTGCCTAAGAAAAAGTCAAAGAGTATGACAATGACAGTATAAGTATACTGTATACCCCCAAGTTATAATTATAATTCATGCTTCCAAATCCAATCACTCACAATAACTTAACCAAGCCATTTTAATTTTACTGCTCTTTATTTGGCTTTGACACAAGTATTTCACTCACTTGTGTAAGTGTAGAATAGGATATTTAACTTCTAAGATCTATTTGATGCAACTATAAACTGGAGAGGCTGTTTTATTTTTCCCATCACTGCTACTCAACTCCGCTTCCTCAATAAATACTAGGCTACTTATAGTGCAAATAGTAATTGGCAATATAACTTACATGTCATATGATATAGGCTATTGCTTACACCACAGAATATATGATAGAAATAGGCACTCCAATACTAGTTGCGCTGGCCGTAAAAAAAAAATGTGGGCAGCGCAAGGCCGAATTTGCAGGATGAGCTGGAGATGTCCTTTTTCTACACATCTCACAGCCAATTCCACCTTATGTATGTTTCTCAAGGTAGATCAAGGCTTTAAAAAATTTCGTCATAAAAAATATGCAGATGCAAGTCTTCCTGCTTTGAAAAAATACATTTATTATGTTAACGTTACAAAAACAATGACACATTCACTCTCCTCTCAGTTCATTGAGAGAAACCCCAATGCTTAAATTTTACCAGGAATTTTGTTTTCATAACTAAATAAAATACCTTTAAAATATAAAAGGAATACCTTAATGAAAGCTAATTGGATACATTTTCTGGAATGAATAATGATATATTTGTTCCCATAGCAGCTGATGCAAAAAAAACAAAAAAAATTATACTTGAATCATGTGTATTAATTTATTTTACAATTGATGACATTAAATACATTTCATAAAGACTACAGAATTACAATAAAGTTCCCTGGAAATATATATAATGTATAATATAATTTTTAATTACAAATTTTGTTATTTCATGAAATATACATATGAATTATACGATCATTTAATGATTATTAAGATTGTTTTGTCATCTTCATGTAATAAATTATAACTCTAATGTACAATAGATGACCAGTCATTTTCATACTTGGGCACTGCACCAATATGTTTTAGTGCATGTCTCACTTAGTTGATATGATGTAGATATAAATAAATAATTTTAAAACACTTTGTCAAAATCTTTTGTGTGCAGGTCTTTAAAAATATGTATAATATTACATTAAAGAATGCAATAAATGTTCATATTTTTCCAGTGAATTTTCAAGACAGTATGCAGGAAGTCAATGTTAAAGTTGCTGTACGGGTAAGCGATTAGATAGCTATCACGAGATATTACATCATCGCTGTGAAGTTAAGAAAGAATTACATTCTTGTGTGTTTGTGTGCACACAGTTAACTTAATTTATTTTTAACATCAGTTTTGATATTTGCACAGGTCCGTCCCTTACTTCAGAAAGAAAAGTTGGGGGGAGAACAAGTTTGTGTCCGAGTTGGGTCTAATTCTGGCCAAATTGTAGTGGGTACAGATAGATCTTTTACATTTGATAATGTTCTCTTCAACTGCACTCAGCAGGTATGTATATAATGTATATTAACATATTACATGTTTACTTGCAAAAATATAACCATTACGTGAGGAACTCTACCGAGAAAAAAAATGTTCAAATGCATGCAAACAAGTATTAAAATAATTTTAATGAAATCAATTTTTGTTTAAATATGCCTACTCAGTAATTACTAAAAAATCTAATTTGTTTAAATTTCCCTACTCAGCGTTAATAATTTATACAAGTGTAATTTATCCTTCCAACTATTCAATTTCTATTTTATTTTATTCTAAAAATATTTACTGTTGTTGTAGGAAGTCTATAACAAGTGTGTGGAGCCACTTGTACAGAGTATCTTTGACGGCTACAATGCTACTGTATTTGCCTATGGACAAACAGTATGTGAGATTTTAGTACCGGTATTTCATATTAAAATCACGCTTTTTAATTTCTAAAGGTGTTAAAAATAAATTAATAAAGGCACAAAATCTAATGTAGATTTAATTATTGGTAGCTTGAGACCAGGTCTACCACCCATATCTGGTTAAGTAAATAAAATAACCAGGTCTGCTCCCAAAAGCTAAATTTTGTAAATGTAAATTGAGCTCTGAATGAGTGTTTAGAATTATAAATTTTTTGGTCTAATCTTAACTCTGGCATCTCTTATTTACAATGACACTTGAATATTTCTTTACTATAACACTGTCATTCTTACCTTACAACAGCACTGTCATTAATTCATAAAAATAACACTGTCTTAATTTAAACACTGTCATTCTTACCTTACAACAGCGCTGTCATTATTTCATAAAAATAACACTGTCTTATTTTATTATAATAACAATATCATAATTTCATCAAAATAGCACTTTCGTGATTTGATTACAATAACACTGTCATTATTTTATCACAGGGATCTGGAAAAACATATACAATCGGTGGAGGGGATATAACTGCTCTGACGGAAGAGGAATATGGCACAATTCCACGAGCTATCCATCACATGTTCAAAATTATGGAGGTTAAAACTTAAAATGTTTGTTTTCCTTTGAGTGTTAGAAGTATTGATGGATTGTTTGTGTGTAAAAATTTTGTATTGGAAAAAATTAATGATTGATGAACTTGTAAAATAGTTCATTAAATACATGATTCATGAACATGTAAAAAAAAATATCAAGTTTCTGATCTATGAACAATTGAAATTTATTATTTTTTTATTTTCAACAGAGCACAAAGAATAAAACCTTTTCAATCCATGTGTCCTATATAGAGATCTATATGGAAGAGTTACGTGACCTTTTAGCTCTTGACACACCTTCAAAAGATCTTCATGTTCGTGAGGACAGCAAAGGAAATACAGGTAATAGATGAGTTGTCCAATAACTAAGATAAATTTAAGTACACGTGAATTTAAATGTTGCTGATGTTGTTCTTTTTTAAAGAGATTAAATAAAGATTTCAGGAATGGTAAGTTTATGATCTTCGTGCGATTTAATTCTCTATTTCACATTTATTTACACAGTGATAATAGGAGCAAGGGAGGTGGAGTGTGAGACCTTGGATGAAGTTATGTCACTTCTGGAATCAGGCTCATCGGCCCGACACACTGGATCAACACAGATGAATGAGCAGTCGAGCCGCTCACACTCAATCTTCACAGTTGTCATTGGTGGGTTGATGGGTAGCGCCACAGCATAATTATGTGCATAACATTAAATGGTTTTCAAATCTAAATAAGATAAACTAAACATAGACATGTTTAATAATTGTGGCACATTAATCAGCATGTCAGCTGATGGCAGATTAATCAGCATGTCACCCGCTGGCCCATTAATCAGCATGACAGCCGATGGCACATTAATCAGTATGTCAGCCGACAGCACATTAATCAGCATGTCAGCCAACCAGTCAGATCAAGCAGAGGGAACCACTGATGGATGCATTCATCTCATTAGAAAAATTATAATTTAGTGCAGCTTTGTGGTGATTGACTAATAATTATGTCACTAACAAGTGAGAAAAGGAAATATACGAGTGCTAATAACAAGAAACATAATGTATAAAAGGCAGATTTTTGTAAAGCTAAATTATAACAGAAAGTCTTCAGTGGTCACAGTAGCGACAAGAGATTAAATTTGTTATAAAATTGATTTTTTGGATTTTGTATTTCTATAAATTTTTGGTTCTGTAAATTTAAGTGGGTTTTTTTTTCCTTATTTTTATACTTCTAATTTTTAACAAACTAAACATAAGGACAGATTATGCTCTAGACTATAAATGTCCAATGCATAAACTGAACTATATTACTATATATTTTTAACTTCAAACCTCTATATTTTTAGGTCAAAAGTGGTCAGAGTCAGATCCAGTGACAGAGAAGAGACTGAAGCAGCCTAGTGACACCAGCCTGGATACATTAGAAAATGAGGGTAATATATGTTGTGATAACACAATCCATTAGAACATGAGGGTAATCTATGTTGTGATAACACAATCCATTAGAACATGAGGGTAATCTATGTTGGGATAACACAATCCATTAGAACATGAGGGTAATCTATGTTGTGATAACACAATCCATTAGAACATGAGGGTAATTTATGTTGTGATAACACAAACCATTAGAACATGAGGGTAATCTATGTTGTGATAACACAATCCATTAGAACATGAGGGTAATCTATGTTGTGATAACACAATCCATTAGAACATGAGGGTAATCTATGTTGTGATAACACAATCCATTAGAACATGAGGGTAATCTATGTTGTGATAACACAATCCATTAGAACATGAGGGTAATCTATGTTGGGATAACACAATCCATTAGAACATGAGGGTAATTTATGTTGGGATAACACAATCCATTAGAACATGAGGGTAATCATGAGGATAACACAATAAGATTAGATTTGAGTTTTTTCAGCTTTCCAATCATCATTATGATTGTAAGAAAATAACTCTTGATAAGCCTTCTGAGTTGACCACCAGGGACTGTTGGATATAAAGATGAATGAAACAACATATTATTTAAACTTGTCTGATTCATCAGCTTGTTGAAGCCGACGATGGTAAAGCAAGCATTGATGGGAATTATATGTGTGGACTTCATTTAACTTTCATTTTAATCCGTTTCCATTTGGCTTCTAATGTGGAAACCTTGCGATACTTTTTAAATCAATTTTTTTCATTGTGATAAGAATTGATAATTAAAATTTGTATATACTTGAATCCCCAGACATCAGCCATTACATGAGTGGGAAGTTCCACTTTGTTGACCTGGCTGGGTCAGAGAGAGCTCACAAGACGGGCAACATTGGGGACAGATTTAAAGGTAAACATTTCATTTGGGACATTTGGGTTAACATGTAAAAAAATCTAAACTTGGTGTAAAAAAAAACGTAAGCATTTTTGTGGTCAAAGGGATCTCTTTAAGCAGTGTTTTCCAAAAAAAAATGATAAAGGGACATAATAATGTCTTTGGGGTGTTTCTTATGTATGTCATTTATATATATATATATATATATATATATATAAATATATACATGCATAGATTTATAAATTCTTTAAAAGACATGAAAACCTTGGGCAACCACCACAGAATATTTCATACATAGACTGTGTCTCTTCTTTGATACAGAATTACATGCTAAAAGTTCAGGGTACGATAAATAGTGTTTCTTTTGGAGTTATTGCCCATGGCTTAATTAAAACTTTGTATTTGTTTGAAGAGCACTTCAATCTTGCAGCCATAAATTACCTTGTAAGGAAATATTACCTCGCCTTGCTGATTCAAATCTAATTCCATTTTTTAAATTTTTTCTCCTAGAATCTATTCACATCAATTCTGGTCTGCTGTCACTGGGAAATGTGATAAGTGCCCTGGGTGATGTCAAGAAAAAGTCAACTCACATTCCATACAGAGAATCTAAGATCACCAGACTATTGAAGGTAATGTTTGGACCTCGGTAACTAGTAAGAGACATTTTATATACCACAATAGCTGCTCACTCTTGCAACACCACAATGGCAGCTCACTCTTGCAGCACCACACTAGCAACCCATTCTTGCCACACCACAATAGAGCTCACTCTTGCCACAACACAATAGCCACTCGCTCTTGCCACACCATATTTACGATCGATACTACTTGCATAATTATAGTGTACAAGTTACAGTAATAACTTGTGACATTTGGGTAACAAATTATGTGTATTGTATCATTTGTACCTGCAATTGATTTTTTTAATGTGAGGTTTTGTAAAACAATCAATTTTTTTCCCCTTCCATCAGGACTCGCTTGGTGGTAATGCCAAAACTCTGATGATCTGCTGCGTGAGTCCATCTTCGTCCAGCTTTGATGAATCTCTCAACTCTCTGAAATATGCCAACAGGGTAACACATTGTTTCACCGGCTTACATCCACTCATTTACATCCACTCATTTACATCCACTCATTTACATCCACTCATTTACATCCACTCATTTACATCCACTCATTTACATCCACTCATTTACATCCACTCATTTACATCCACTCATTTACATCCACTCATTTACATCCACTCATTTACATCCACTCATTTACATCCACTCATTTACATCCACTCATTTACATCCACTCATTTACATCCACTCATTTACATCCACTCATTTACATCCACTCATTTACATCCACTCATTTACATCCACTCATCAACCTTAACTCTTAAAGCTGTATTTGGTTTTTTTTAATATTTTATTTTTGCTTAACATTTCCATTTCGCTAAAACAAAAAAAAAATCAATGACAGTGCTGTTCTTTAATTAGGGGCTTGACGTTACTTCAACAAGAACAAACATTTAATTTATGATTAAAAAAAATAATTTTTTTTTTACTGGTCTGCAAAAAATATTACAGTTATTGTTCATAATTTATGCAACTGCAGTACTTACATGGTGTGTCAAGACACACCAGAGTTTCACGGGTGTGCCACAACATTTTATTTTAATTTAAAAGGAAAGAGGATAAAAATCATTATAAAAGGAATTTTAGAAATTTAACATACAAATTGGGTTGTCATTAGGGCAAAAATTGTTACCATTCATATAATCCAACCATCTAATGTACCTGGTAAAAAAGAATAAAAATAAATTTCTTTTAGACCCTTTTTTTCACCCAAAACAGTTGAAATTTTTCAAAAGATTGAGATGTTGTGTCCAATCATTTCACTAAGTGTGTCGTAAAATAAATGATGAGTCATCAAAACATAAAATTTCTTTCTTAATTTTTTTCTACTCACCATACTGTCGCTTTAAGCTATACCATAAAAAAGACAACAACAGTTTCTCTGAAATAATGTTACACCCCAGTAAGCCACACCCAACGATCCCCATCCTGCTCCAAACTTCCAAGTGTTTCAATGAACCAACAGTCTTTTTTTATGCTTAATCTCCAGGCCAAGAATATAAGGAACAAACCCGTTATCAACAGAGACATGCAGTCTATTCGATTTGAAGAAATGCAGTGTGAGATTAAGGTAAAAATGTACTACATACGTTTTACAGTTATGGGTATCCTAAGGAGGGGGCAAGGACGCGCATCCTCCTCCCCACCCTTTTTTATTTTCCACTTTTAAACTTAAGATTACAAATAAAGTCCCTGTGAGGCTGAGTCAGGAGGAGATGCAGGACGAAACAATTTGAAATCTTCAGCAGGAACTACTGACGGTCAATTTGGTACACCAGTGGCAGTAAATGTGACGACGTGAAGCAACAAAAAAAAAAAAAAAAAAAGAATACATTGAAAAGGGGCAAAAAACCTGTGAGGCTGAGGCAGGAGGAGATGCAGGACGAAACAATTTGAAATCTTCAGCAGGAACTACTGACGGTCAATTTGGTACACCAGTGGCAGTAAATGTGACGACGTGAAGCAACAAAAAAAAAAAAAAAAAAGATTACATTGACAAGGGGCATAAACGGTAGTCTATTTACCTACCTTATTCCTTTCATTAAAAATCAATTTAAATGTATTGATAAACGTTGCATTCCATGACCCTCCCACAAAGATTTTTGCGCATGCTCATGACCCGTGATTTAGAGCAAGCGTTCTAGTTTGAAATTCTTTGTGTCGTTTGCGTCACACTTCTGCTCGTCCAAGCAGCATTTCATATAAGAAATAATTTCTATGATTACCAGGCCCTGAGGGAGGAGCTTGCAAGACAGAGGACAACCATGAGCTTGTACCCTGAGGCGGACGGCCAGACAGACGCCGGCCGCACCAAGGAGCTGGAGGACAAGATAAGCAGGTCAGCCGTTTGTGCATTAACCTTTGACCCTTGAATATTTTAACCTTGAAGGTGACAACAAAGAAAATCGAACACGGAAGAAACGGGAGGGAAAACGTTAGTTAAAAAAGATAGTTAATTATAGTTAACAAGCATATGATACTGTATTTGGTTTCAGCCAAAGGCCACAGTCATAGAGAACAGTTTAAGTTTAAAGCCATATTTTATGACTTTAGTTTATAGATGAAGGTGACAACCATAGATTATAACTACAGACCTGTTTATCGTCTGGTTAGTGTCAGAGTATTTTTCAGCTCTCAAAAACGTAGTTTCAAGCTCCAAAGAGAGGTTTGGTCAATTTGGGGGTGAGGAGGGGGGAGGAGGGTTTACAATCATAATACAAGGTGTCAGGAAATCCACTCAGCTGCTTATATACGTTAACATAATGATATATATAAGTTATGGTTCTCCGATTCTTTGAAGAATGTCATTCTTTTTGGATTGCTAGCGGTGCTAACACAAAAATTGTGGTAACTTTTTACTGATATTTTTTAAAAATTAAAAATAAACCAAAGAAATGAAAAAACTCCTGAAAACTTAGTTTTTTTAGGCTCATCGAAGTGTCATAGTTTTAGGCTAAAAAATGTACAGCAAAAGCATAGGGTTAAATAAGTCTCAGCTGCAGGTTACATCCAGAAGTTACTGCTACAGATCACAGCCACAGGTCACTGCTTTAGGTCACAGCATAGGTTAAATGTTACAGCCATAGGCTACTGCCGAAGGTCACAGCCATAGGACAAAGCTGCAGGCTACATGTTACAGCCACTGTATATTTGGATGTTTTTTATTCTGCCCCTGCAGGCTGCAGACCGAGTGTGCCAATTACAGGATGATAGCGGAGGAGGCTTACAAACACATCCTGGACATACAAGAGAGGGACATCGTGTCCAAGAGTCAGAACCTCAGATTGAAAGACTGGATGGAACTTTTAGAAGAGGTTTCCTTTTTGAATGGTTTTATGTGGTCTCATTCTCTTTACTATAGCACCATATTCATATACAGTTCCATATGGTGTTGTAATGTTTACTATAGAACCATATTCATATACAGTTCCATATGGTGTTGTAATGTTTACTATAGCACCATATTCATATACAGTTCCATATGGTGTTGTAATGTTTACTATAGAACCATATTCATATACAGTTCCATATGGTGTTGTAATGTTCTGTTTACTATAGCACCATATTCATATACAGTTCCATATGGTGTTGTAATGTTCTGTTTACTATAGCACCATATTCATATACAGTTCCATATGGTGTTGTAATGTTCTGTTTACTATAGCACCATATTCATATACAGTTCCATATGGTGTTGTAATGTTCTGTTTACTATAGCACCATATTCATATACAGTTCCATATGGTGTTGTAATGTTCTGTTTACTATAGCACCATATTCATATACAGTTCCATATGGTGTTGTAATGTTCTGTTTACTATAGCACCATATTCATATACAGTTCCATATGGTGTTGTAATGTTCTGTTTACTATAGCACCATATTCATATACTGTACCATATGGTGTTGTAATGTTCTGTTTACTATAGCACCATATTCATATACAGCTCCACATGGTGTCGTATAAACATATAGCATCATATTATTGTACATTTCCACATGGTGTTGTAATGTTCTGGACAGAATTACTTTTGTTTCATATAATTACATATAGTTTTATATATTAATAATGTACATCCATTTATCCCAAAGTTTAATCTAGTTTTATGCAGTCTTATTCCATTTTCATAATGTTGTTTACAGTAGGCCTATCATATTCAACAGATTCTTATATTTTAATATAGTTTCATGTAGTATATAGAGTGAGATTTTTAAAAATTTTATGGAACTGTTGATGTTACACTAGAAGTAACACTAGAAGTAAGAAATATTTGCTTATCAGATGCTCTTAATATGATTTCTATAAACTGATAGAACCCATGATGACCACGTTTGAATTTTGAGGTTGATGCATTCCACAGATTAAAAATAAAGTCCCCATGAGGCTCAGTCAGGAGGAGATGCAGAACGAAACAATTCGAAGTCTTCAGCAGGAACTACAGAAGGTCAGTGCGGTACACCAGGGGCAGCAAGTGGGACAAGTTTAATGTCCTTATGACTAGGGGAAGTAACTATGTGTAGCAACAAAAACAAAAAAGATTTCATAGTCAAGGGGCAGAAACTATAGTTTATTTATCTTCCTTATTCCTGTTATAGACTCTTAATTCTTTTTCACAGTGCCGATCACATCTTGAGAGTGATGAAACCATCTTTGCAGACAAGACAAGGGAGGTCAACTACTTGAATGAAACCATACAGGAAATGGTAAAAGATAGTTGCAGTTTTTTAGCCACAAATGTTCTTTCTATTTAAGATTCAATCACTGGCTTTGATTTTTTTTTTTAAAGTTCATTGTTATAAATTGTTATTGTTCTTAGCAGTTTTTGCTTAACATTTAAGTTTAAAAAATTCTTTTGAATTATTTATTACATGTTTTAGGTTTCTGATTAATTGAACTTTAAAAACATTTATATTTGCTTTATTTCTTACAATTTTTTTTAACTTGAATTTTTTTTAAATTTCTGCTTTGATGTGCGCTTGTGAAATTTAGGAAAAGTCCACAAATTATTTGGAGACCCAGCTGGAAGAGTTGACTCTGTTGTGCCAGCGGCAATCTGAACAGCTCATAGCACAACAGATCAGAATTGATGTACTTGAGGCACAGTTGAAGGTTTCTTGATTCATTCTATTTCTTTTTATGTAAACTCTGAATTTGGGGGTCATGTCATGGAGACGTTCATTGTACTATAAAGGAGCATGACAACTGCACCCATTGAATAAATAGACAGACATAGTTATTGAAATAACTTGATTTCTTCTTTCAAAAATCTTATTTTGTAATCTATCCTATTTTTTTAAAAATCAAGTATTTGAATTTCTTTAATTGTAACCGAGATCATTGCACCACATTTTTAGTTTATGGTATTAACATGTTGCATGTGTCAAAACAGATGCCTACAATACCAGCCACCAGCATTGATGAAACATCATCCTTACCATCACTACCGGCCTACTCCGGCAGACGGCCCAAATCTGTCCCTGCGCGCATGCACACAAATAAAGATGAGGTAAAAGTTATTCAACCTATGACTCTGTCATTTTAGAGTTGCAATGATAATTCTCAAAACGTTTGTCAGTTACACTGTAAAACAAAGTTTGATAATTAAATGGACATTTTTTTGAATTTGATATTAATATTCAGGATAAAATAATACTTTTTTTTTTTTACAAAACATTTTACTCCCACCACCAAAACTAGGCCAATCTTCTGCGTCCACCCTCTCGGCTGATCAAAACCAGCCCGGCCCTCTTCACACTAGAACGAGTCATGCAGAGTTTCAGAGCTCGGAGTCAGTTGCTGATTAGCAGACTGGAGGACTCTGATGAAGTCCTGCACCAGACGTTCAGTGATGATGAGGATCTGGAGGAGGATGAGGGAAGGAATCAGGACAAAATGAAGTTTGTTTTTAATTTGCTGCCTCATCTTATATAGAGTTTAACAGTTAATACTTCTGAATGGAAATTAGCGTCATTATTTAATGCACATCTGTATGCACTGTTATGCTATCAACATTGAGATAGTTCTGTCATACCATACTAGAGTCATTTTATAAAGAATTTAACAGTTTGGAAAACAGTTAACAAATTTGTATGGAAAATAGTGTCTTTATCAAATATCTGTATATACTGTTATCCTGTCTAAAGTGAGATAGTTCTGTCATACCATAGTAGAGTAATTTTATAACCAAATGTGATTCCCTAGTCACGCCATTCTTTTGGGAGTCCCTGAAGAAGTTTTTTTTTTATGCATACACACACATACATTAGATGGCAGGCTCAAAGAAGCATGATGTTTGTTTCACAGGACAGGCTCTCAAATCCAAAGACGTGACACATTCAATGTTAAGAGACCTGTCCAAAGCCATGAAGTCAACAGGTCACAAAACAGAGGAACCTTTCCAACAATGCCCAGCACGAATGGTACGTCACATGTAGGACAGCTGGTCAGAAACAGCATGTCACAAGTAGGATACCTGGTCAGAAATGGAATTATTGGGTAACAAATAAGATGTTGGGTGACTATGAACTTTGTCTTATTGCAAGTTGTCTTTGTTAACCTCTTTTTTTTTTTTCTTTTTTTTTTAAATTTATCATGATTCACAAAAATAATCATTTAGAACCAAAAGTAAATATTATTTTATTTTTTTTTTTAAATTTATCATGATTAACAAAAATAATTATTTAGAACTAAAAATAAATATTTATAAATAATAAATCTTTTTTTTTTTTTTTTAAATTTATCTCTAAGGAAGAAAAAAAGAAAATATTCATATTTAACATTGCAATCTCATGAGACTTGAAGAATTTTCAGTTTTTTAAAGAAAAAATGTGTAAGTCTCCACTTCTGAGAAAGCAATGAATATTTCCTTTTTGGTTTAGAGTCTTTTTTTTCCCCCATCAGGTAATTGTGAAATTACCAGGGCCAGCACCCACCTTGTTGAAAAACGCTCTGACATAAGCAGATCTAGCAACGAGAGTGGACGTCTCATCAACATGGATGTCCAGTCCAGTGCTGAGATTCACAGGAAACTTATCAAACAGTCCCAGCTGAAGGCTCTGGAGGCACATCAGAAGATCAGGGATCTGTCCATCAATATTAGGTCAGCTTGAGTTAGGGTTTTGCGGATCAGTTGTTTTTTTGTTGACAATTTCTTTTAAAGTGTTTTCATTTTTTAATGTGTTCAATACCGTTTGGATACAGTGTTACAGGAAATAAGCAACTGTGTCGCATGAACATCTTGCCTGAGGATGCAAAATTAAATAAATTAATTAATGATTCACAAACAATGTTTATTTTTAGGTAGGATACATACGCATATATATATGTATATCTTATGTAATTTAATTAATAATAAATTCATTTAATAAATGTGAATTTAATTTATACTTCTATGAATTTTTTGTTGTTGTACTGATCAAGGCATTTGCTGAAACACTTGTATTCTGTGTATTCATAATGAAAGCTTAACAAATATATTGATTTAATTGCACAAATTGTTTGTGCATCATTAATCTACTTGAAAGCTTTATCGCAGCCCAGAACTGTTATAACTAGTTCGTTAAATATATAAACAGCAAATTCTGCACATCCTAACAAATCTGTCTCCATTTTATTATTGATGTATCATTTAACTGAAATGGAAACCTAAATTTTGGAACACAATTTTAAGATAAAGTTTAAGGAAAGCTTGGATTAAATTTCTTTGGTCAGACCAATCAAACCATAAAAATTCATGAGAGAAATTAGAAGGAAAAAAATGTATTCATTTTGTGTCTTTTTAATCTGTTCATCTTTTAAGGATGAAAGAACAACTGATCAGAGAACTGGTCAGGTCAGAGAAAGATGCAGAGTTGATGAACAAACAGTATGCAGAGAAAATCAAAGGCCTGGAAAAGGTACACAAATAAGCAGAGACATTTAAAAAATAAAAGGATCTTGAAAGTCCCTGCTATGTTTGTCTAGCTCCATTTTGAGCAGCGTTACTTTAGCCTCTCTGACATGGTCAACAGCAAAAAAAAGTTTACTTTAGCCTAATTTATTTCAACTGCGATAGCAATGTATTTTGGCCTAATCCGACTTATTTTTTTTAGGAAAAAGAAGCTGCCAAGAAGGATCTGACAGAAGTTCAAAAGGCCCTGCAATCTCTGGAGACTAAAGACAAATCGGAAATCTCCAACATACAGAAATTAGAAATGTAAATTGTGATTTATTTATATACATTTTAAAATCTTCACTTGGAATGTACAGATTTCAAATTATTTTCTCTACTGGCGACTTGAAGTATGTATAACTAGACTCTATAAATATCAGTTACTTAGAGAAATCCTCCAAGTAAATTATCCCCTCGCTCTTCCGAAAAAATAACAATTATTTTCCATTTTTAAATTAAAATGTCAAACTGTTGTTTTTTTATAATTAATTTTGTATTTTATTTGTTTGTGTCTATGGATTTTATCACAAGTCTTTCTCATCTCCTAGTCAATCAATACATCAGCTCTGGTCAAACAATTTTGTCCTCATGATTTACATACTTTCACAAGGTTTTTAAACAAAATTAATTCCATCCTCAGTGACTATAAAAAAAAGATTGAGGAAGCAAAAGCCAAAGTTTCAGCCCTACAGAAAAAACAAAAAGAAACAGAAAAAGTTGCCAGCTTTGCCCACCAGCATGAGAAGAAGTAAGCCAAAGTCACTTTTTTTAGAACAGGTTTTTTTCCCCTTCAAATTAAATAAAATTTTGTCTCATTACGTAAAAATTTCAATTTATATGCTGTTATAACTAAAATATTTTCTTAACCCGTTTTTTTTGCTGATGTTATTTATAGAATTCAGGACTTGGAGTTGGCCATAGACAGGATGAAACAACAGCAGGAAACTCTGCAAAAAAAGCTGAAAGAAGAGGTTGATCAGAAAGCAAGGCTGGAGGTAAGGCCATATTAAGTCTATTTTCAAACAAGTTTTACAAAGATTAAATTTTTTAGTAATTATTATTATTTTTTCGTCAAATTTGTTTTTTGAAAACATTTTTAAAAGACTTTCAAGTGATTAACATTTAGATGATGATATACTGTGGCCATCGGATTATTTGTTTATATAAACCAATTCTGTCTAACCTTTTTGACTCTGTGGGCCAAAATTGTTTTCCTTTGAACCAGACGTCTCAAAAGAAAGATTTAAAAAAAAAAAAAGAAATGCTTTCAAATTTCCTATACGTTTTTTTCTTACCATATTCTTTAAGAGTCACGTGTTAGCATTATCAGCCCATCATGTTATTGAAGCTAATAAAAGCTGTAGTACTTTTTTTTTTAAAAATATCTGGCTTTGATTATCGTACTTGCAATGTTTGGTTGGTATTCAGTAACAGATCCCCCCTCATCAGATTTCCTAAATGTTCATCAGTCGGAGCCGTGCAATTTTTTTTTACTTGTTGTTGGTCATGGCAGAGAGTCCAGCTTCACGCTGTATTCTCTTGATTTTGTTTCTACTGGGTAATCTTTGTAGAATCTGTATGCACTGACTTGTAGGGTCTCAGCAAGATTTCATAAAAGAACTAGAAGTCTGAATTACTAAGTACCGGTTTCATTTTGTCTCAAACTTACAATCTCTCCCCATAACTCCCCATAACCTGGCTAGAATGCTTTTAATTTTATCTGGTTCACAAACCCCCCCCCCACCCCCACCCCCCACCCCCTCTCGATGGCCACAATCGTTTGTTATACCGGTTTCATCTTGGCTCAAACTTACAATCTCTCCCCATAACTCCCCATAACCTGGCTAGAATGCTTTTAATTTTATCTGGTTCACCAACCCCCCCCCCACCCCCACCCCCCACCCCCTCTCGATGGCCACAATCGTTTGTTATGCCTTTAGTACCAAAAGATCTCATCTGGGTTAATCTGACCAGAGGACTTCCTTTCTTCCTGTCTATAAAGCGTAGTTGTTAACCCAGGGTGCTTAGTTATCCAGTTCATCTAAACCAGTTCCCGTTGTGTGTGCATGGACATTTTTTATATGAACAGCCAGCTACACATCAAGTTACCGTACTGTTGGTTTCTCAATCTATCTTTTCCAATGCCGTTAATACCTGGTAATAATAATTATACCTGGTTTCTGCAACACCTCCCTAGTGCAGGCAGCGAAAAGAAGAAGACACTAGTTTCCAATTTCATGTCACCCCCATGTTCCCGAATTGTTGACCTGCTGATGCTCTTAACAGAAATTACTGCTACCTGTCAAACCCTGTGAATTCCTTCCAAGCCATGACTTCTCCTCTGCCCTTATGCATTTTCTGAACAATTCTCAACTTATGAATGTTGTTTGAATTTGTTTCCACTTAACTTGAGTATTTTTTACATCCATAATAAAAAATATTGCTCAAGTTCTGGTGGGCCATTTAAAATAAGTCACATGCTGGATAGCACTGATATAGATCTTAGGTTTCATAAGTACTTATAGAAAAATTATCTTATGTGTAACTTATTTCTTTTAGGTGTCATTATTTATCTAAAATCATAAGTGACTTATATACTTATAAATAAAAAATATTATGTGTCTTAATTTATTTACCAAACTCTCTGGTTCATTATTTTTTAATAAAAATTTAATGTGACATGCCTTACTTATAGAAATCGTTGGTTCATTATTATTTTGCCAACAGAAAGAAATGCAGCGGGAGGTGCAGAGAGTTAAGGACCTTGAGATCAGGGATGAGCAGACACAGAAAGTGTTGAAGAGAAAAACTGAAGAGCTCCTGTCTGCCAAAAGACGTCTCAGGTCTGCGTCGGGTGTCCTTCCTCCAATCACAAGGTCAGTTGCCTCACTTTTAAGCTGTCCACAAAAATTGGCATGTGGGCTTGTGTACAACTCTGTCATTTTTAACTGATAAGCCATGACATTTTTAACTGATAAGCCATGACATTTTTAACTGATAAGCCACGACATTTTTAACTGATAAGCCACGACATTTTTAACTGATAAGCCATGACATTTTTAACTGATAAGCCATGACATTTTTAACTGATAAGCCATGACATTTTTAACTGATAAGCCATGACATTTTTAACTGATAAGCCACTGTGCATTTTAATTTTGGTGAGTGAAATCGGCTCAATATATTTGACTGTTGCTTACAGTGAAGAGCAAGATAAAATTGAGGAGCAGAGGAAATGGGTGGATGCCGAGGTGGAGAAAGTCTTGGAGCAACGGAGGCAGAATGAGGAGCTTGAACAGGTCAGTGGGCATTTTGTCTTAAAGCAATCGGACAACATTTTGTTCATTTATCATCGTATAATTTCAAGTTTATGGGTTATTAGTTGAGTTCTTTGAAAAAAAAAAAAACAAATTTCCTCTTTAGTAGCAACAGTAAGAGATTATTTTAATATAAAGAAATGTTCACTAAATAAATAGAGATTTTTAACAAAAAATCACTCCCATTACTGGGGTACTCTAACCTGTAGGTCTATACCTGAGCTGTAGTTGTGAAACATATTTTTAATAATGAAGAAATGTTCACTAAATAAATAGAGATTTTTAACAAAAAATCGTTCCCATTACTGGGGTACTCTAACCTGTAGGTCTATACCTGAGCTGTAGTTGTGAAACATATTTTTAATATAAAAAAAAAAATACTCTCAACAATTTAATGAATATCACTGTTTATAAAAAAAAAATTACTTTAGTGAAACTGTGTTATAAAATAATGCAAAGTAAGAACCTCATGTTTGTTTAAGGAACTGAGGAGAAGGGAGGCAATCATAGCCAAGAAAGAAGCCATTCTGGCAGAGAAGAGTGAGCTAGAGATGAGGAAAATGAGGTCAAGTCAGGCACTCAACAAGGTCAGTTGCAATTCATGTAAGGCCAAGGTCATGGGATGTGAGGTTGGCCTCATTTAAATAATTGTATTACTGTCTGAATTTTTATTTTTCGCTTTGGTTGACTTGGATTGTCTCCCATCTTTGAATGATTGCCTCCCCTGTCCTACAGAGTATGCTGTCCCTGTCCTCAAAGCTGGACACGGTGGAGAGAAAGCTGGACGAGAAGAAGAAGGAACTGCCAGAGGTGACGGAAGACAGGAAGTTGCAGGTGAAGGAGGAGATCCACAAGCTGAGGCACACGAGGGACAAGCTCAACAAACAGCGGGCGCAGCTGGACGAGAAACTGAGCGAGGGGAAACTTTTGTCAGTGGAGGAGGAGAGAAGGTAAGGCATTGTGTGTTTAGCGGGAGGGTAGTGTTAGAAGGGTCTGTTTAGTGGACGTCTAGTGTTAGAATGGTTTATTTAGTGGGTGTGTAGTGTTAGAATAGTCTGCTTAGTGGGAGTGTAGTGTTTGAATGGTCTATGTAGTGGGAGTGTAGTGTTGGTATGGTCTATTTAGTGGGAGTGTAGTGTTGGTATGGTCTATGTAGTGGGAGTGTAGTGTTAGAATGGTCTGTTTAGTGGGAGTGTTGTTGTGGCAAATGGAGGAGAGGAAGTAAGGCAGCTAGTGTTCAGTGGGTGTGTTCAGTGGGTGTGTTCAGTGGGTGTGTACTGTTGGCCAGTGGAGGAGAGCTGTTTAGTACTGGAATTTTTGGCGATGTTGGAACATGGGAGTTGCACCTGCCGTGACATCAAAACTGAGATGTGTATCATGAAATCTCACCTTTTTTTTTTCTTTCTTCTTCAGATTGATAGAAATGGATGAGGCTATTGAAGCCCTGGATGCAGCCATCCAATACAAAGATGAGAACATCCACATCCGCCAGATGGAAGTCAGACAGTCATCTCAAGCTCTTGCACAGGTGTGAGACATTTTCTGTCTATTATTATGTAGAAACTTTTGCCATGGACCACAATTATCATGGCCTGAAATTGAATGTAATATGGGTGATTTATAAGGGGATAGAGTAAAGTAACAAAGGTTAATGGAATAGCAGCAGCTACTTAATTTGAACACTGGGCTCATGTGCCCTGGGGGGGGGGGGTATGCACAGTAAGCCAATTCTGACCATTTTTACGAGCTGAGATAGAGTAAAGTAACAAAGGTTAATGGAATAGCAGCAGCTACTTAATTTGAACACTGGGCTCATGTGCCCTGGGGGGGGGGTATGCACAGTAAGCCAATTCTGACCATTTTTACGAGCTGGCTTGTGTTGAGCTGGCTTGCGTTGAGCTGGCTTGTGTTGAGCTGGCTTGTGTTGAGCTGGCTTGTGTTGAGCTGGCTTGTGTTGAGCTGGCTTGTGTTGAGCTGGCTTGCGTTGAGCTGGCTTGCGTTGAGCTGGCTTGTGTTGAGCTGGCTTGCGTTGAGCTGGCTTGTGTTGAGCTGGCTTGTGTTGAGCTGGCTTGTGTTGAGCTGGCTTGTGTTGAGCTGGCTTGCGTTGAGCTGGCTTGTGTTGAGCTGGCTTGTGTTGAGCTGGCTTGTGTTGAGCTGGCTTGTGTCGGGTCATTTTAGTTTCCTTTGGAACTCTTCTGTCGACAGAGTGAAGAAAACTTAATTCAGCGCCTCAACTCCCTGACCACGGTTGAAATCCGCGCCCTGCTTTCCAGATACTTTGACAAAGTGGTCTGCCTGAGAGACGGGGAGCGGAAACTTCATCTCAAGTGCAGTGAAATGGAGGTACGAAGTCAGAAGTTTATTTTCTTTCAAATTTAGAATTTTTTTTTTTTTTTATCTTTAATATTATTGTAAATAGAATATCATTCTCCATATCAGTGGTGTACAATCTTGGGGTTGTAACCCATTTTGGGGTGTTACAAGGATCTTTCCCCAATTTTTAGTAAATTGGGGGTCCCCATAAATTCTTAGTGGGGTGGCCCTCAAAAAAATATTTGAGCACCACTGCACCACACAATAAAGAGCTAATATTCCTCATTTAGGAGAAATTATAAAGTGTTGTCTCCCATAAATAAATTCAATATTTTGGAAAATGACTAACAATCTGATACAGACCATTCTTTAGAAAGCACATGTACAAATTTAAAAAAAATATACATCATAAATAAAATGTACACAGTTGTGGGCATAAACTTCCTACACTTATTAAATATGTTCTAAGATTAGAAATAGACTCTGAATTCAGCGTTTCTATGTGGATTTCAAAGGAAATAAGAATTAGAAATTTACAGAGTGTGTATAAAGTTGGTTTATTTAAATTCAAGATGTTCGAAAAGGCCCGACACTAGGTTAATGAATAAAATTATACCACTGAAGCCAGATCTTTATTTGTGGTGCAGGTTTCAAGGCACACATCACAAGTATTTTTGACCTCAGTGATGTCATGTCTTCCTACAGGTGAAAACTGATGAGCAAGAGCGCCTCATCCGGGAACTGGAAGGCGCACTGCAGAGGTCAGCACTGGAGCTGGACAGGAAGTTGACACAGCAGCAGAGGGAGTATGAGCAGAAGATCCAACTACTGATGCACCAGCTGGCCGAGATGGGAAGTGAGACGAACGGCCCGGCGACGGAGCTCAGTAAAGACAAGTGAGACATCTGCTTTGTCTGCGGAACTTTTTTCTATTTGGTTTTATCACACATTTTCACCATTTAGTCCAAATGCAATTTTTTTTTTTTTTACTATTTCATTCACAAGGCTTGAACCCAACATCATCCTTTAAAAATAATACATTGTTTATTTTTACTATGAAATTGTTTTTTTTGCATTTTTTTTCTATGCTCGCTAGTTTTGCTAGTGCTCATGTGCTGTTTTGGTTGGCTTTGTTTCATTTAAATTTTGAAGTTAACTTCAAATGAATGCACACTTATATTCACTTGTTTTTCCCCAGCAAAATACTCAACCTGGAAAAAGATCTTTACTACTACAAGAAAACAGCAAGAGATTTGAGGAAAAAAATTAAAGAACTCCTCAGCAACGGCATCATCTCAAGTCAGGGTTAGTGTTTTTACAGTAGTGACGTGACAACCTCAGAATATTTACATTTCTTTCAACATTTGACAGCACACATCATGCTTTCACATCAGACAGGAAGCAGATAAATATTCACTTTTGACAGCTAACAAAAAAGGAAATATTACAACATTTTACAGACAACATTTAAAAATATTGCCAGGGGAAGCTAATTTAAAATGATTCCCTGACTAATTATTGTTGTAAAATGTGTTGTTGTGTCTTGTTTTTTTGTTCATGAAGTTGTGTTAGCTATTTCTTTCATAAAGGAAACAGAAAATAAAAATGCACTTTAGAAGTGTTAAATTTTTTTGTAGAAAAAACAACAAACAATCTCACAAGAAAAACGAGTCATCGTAGATATAATTTTTTTTTAAAATGAATGACGTTTGCATTTATTTTCTGCCCTCAACAGCTGCTGAAGACGTTGGACTGGTCAGCATGTCTGCTCAAAGTATTGACTCTGAGGTGGCCACCCCGAGGTACAGCGTCCAGTCACAGCCCAACCACCAGCAGAATCACCACCACCATCACCACAACCACCAGCCCCGCCAGAACCACACTGGCCCCAGGAACACATTAAACAGGTTCACATCATCAACCGCAACAGTGCTATATTAAACTACTTAGGCTGCTGAGCTGACGTTGAACTAAAAAAAAAAAAATTAACACAATTCTTGATTTTAACAAAGTCCCATAAAAAAATGTGTTAATTATAAATTTGTGAAATAAATTTACAGTAGACATTTCTTATTTTACATATCTTATTACATTTATTTATAATGTTACCTGCACTTGAGGCTCTCAGTAAATAACGAAATACCTAAGACTGGTAGCAAATCTGGAATAAAAATTTCAGTGTTAACAAAAAAGTATGTGAAATAACATACTATTAATCGTTGCCAGATATTATTAAAGACTGGCTTAAGTTTGAATTTTTATGTGCACTGTGTATAATCTCATGTGTCATTTTATAAAATTATTTCTTTCAGATCCAAGGAGAATTCAAATGGTAGTGCGGCTCCCGACGCAGAACATACTTCGCGACCTACATCCTCCCGAGCTTCGGTTGGAGCATCGGAGGGTCCAAACATCACCACATCATCCCGCCCCTCATCACGCACACATCATTCAGCATTCCAGGAGCCCCACACCAACACAACTCCCTTAAAGATATCCAGACGCGACCTAAGACCCATGTCAGAAGCAGAAGTTTCCCTCCGCAGGTCCAACCTGTCCACCAGAAGTCACACTCAGACACCCCGAGGTGAGCTCAGCTTACGCATTTAACTACCTATCATATAAATTTTAATTAAATTACTTTTATATTGCTATGACCGCAGGGTGAACGTGACGGGCAATTTTTATGATTTTTTTACAGCGTTTGCTTTTTTAGAGACCAAAAACGAATCACTGATAATATGAGTTATATTACCACTGAGGTGAACAGATTTTTTTAAAAATTAAATTTTGTAACTAATTAGAAAAAGTTTGACAAAATACTAATAGGTTAAAAACATGTGACACAAATGCAGGGTGCTAAGACAGTTGACAGTGCAGGGTGCTTAGACAATTGTCAGTGCAGGGTGCTAAGACAGTTGACAGTGCAGGGTGCTTAGACAATTGTCAGTGCAGGGTGCTAAGACAGTTGACAGTGCAGGGTGCTAAGACAGTTGACAGTGCAGGGTGCTAAGACAGTTGACCAATCTTTCAATAAATTAACACAAACATCAAACAGCAAAAGATAATGCAAGATAAAAGTCCAAACCATTTATTTTCAGATTCCTTAGAAGATGGAGGTCCTTATCCCTGGGGATAACTACCTGGATCCCCGCTAGTGACTGGATCAGTTGTTCCGTCACAGGACCCTGTAAAGTTTTGCCATCACAGATAGAGATCGGCCTCTACGGTTTGATGATAGGAAACTCTTGGAAAAATCAACGCCTCTTGAAACCCATTTGCTACTGTTCCAGAGCATTAGCTTTTTTTTAAATGGTGGCCGGTTGATAGATTTTGTAACGAAGTCAGATGTAAAAACATATCGTCCCCGATCTTACACACACACGTTTTCTTTTGCCGTCCTTATACTACGTATTGGTGTTGTCTCCCATAGCTGAACTCTTAGGTTGTGACCTGTAAAGTGTTCTTATTTAACGGGTGACAAAGTGTGTCCTGACAACCTTCCCTTGATTTTTTAAATTGTTTACCAAATCATTAATTCCATTTTGAATAAGACTTCTGGTAAAGCACCAGAACAGAAATGGATGAATATATTAAGTGCCATGCATTCAATACTTTTTTTGGCCACTCAATGCAGGTTACCAATTTAAAAAAATATGATATATGCATAAATGTGTGTGTGTGTACATCGCACGGTCTCTGCCGTCTTATTTTGTTGTGACGCGAAATATTTTAATTTAAATATTTTTAGAATGTTGATACACATATTTTATTTTTACTTCTAGAGCGAATTTCAATTACTCTACTTCATTCTACTTACGCTGAGATTATGAGTATAAAAAACCAGCCTTATTTCAGAAGGATGTCTTCAAATGGCCAGGTTTTCTTTGATTGAACTGTGGTTTTTTAAAAATCTGCTACTGTCAGTTAATAAATAAGTTTCATGTCAAGAAAGTTCTCCCAGTAGATCTTCATCTAGTGCAGAGATTTCAAGCAACTGAAAAGCCATTTCGAATGATTTATGCAATTATATTTTCATTAAGTTAAAAAAACAAAAACAAAACAAATTTATGTACATTCCAAGAATAGATGTTTGTGAATATTGACACATTTTTGTACAGCTGGAGTGGTGTGAATGCAATCGTGTACAAGTTGCTTCTTGTTTTAACACAACAAAACTTGGTGGAGAACTCATCCCATAGCCCACATTTGATATGATAGCTTAAGTGGCACATGTTATCTACTTTTAATTGGAGTGTGTTATCTACTTTTAATAGGCGCTGGCCATTTACTTTTAATTGGCACCGGCCATTTATTTTTAATTGGCACTGGCCATCTAGTTTTTCATTGGCACTGGCCATCTAGTTTTTCATTGGCACTGGCCATCTAGTTTTAGTGGCCCTGGCTATCTAGTTTTAGTGGCACTTGGTCTACTTTTAAGTGACACTGGCCAACTAGTTTTAGTGGCACTAGCCCTCTACTTTTAAGTGGCACTAGGTATTTACCTTTAAGAGGCACTGGCGATCTAAAGGGACACTGGCCATCTACTTTAAAGTGGCACTAGCTATCTACCTTTAATTGGCACTGGCCATCTACCTTTAAGTGGCACTGGGGTATCTACCTTTAAGTGGCACTGGGGTATCTACCTTTAAGTGGCACTTGCCATCTAGTATCTGTGCCACTAACAACTGCAGGGAATGGACAAAACATTATTCTCTCTACTGCAGCTCCAGATAAGAATGTTTCATCTCTCCTTACATTAGCTATCTTTCAGTTTCCTTATCAGCCATTAAAACTGTGAATAGATCTGTACATTTTTTACATGCAGCAGTAGTCTACGATACATTCCAAATTAACAGAGATATTGTAGGATCTACTAGTGTCCAAATTAGTTCAATATCACATCATTGCTATGTCTAAATTTTCTTTGTGTATAATATTGTTTTTTGTTTTTGCATAAGCCCTTCATACAATGCTTTTTTTTTTTGTCATTGGCCAACAGTGCTGTGGCAAGAGGCGTGCGAGCGGCTTCCCAAAAAGCATGCCATGCCTCCATTTTCACTGCCATAAATGGTGATGCCCAATAATTCTGAAAGCAGTCGCCAAGTTTGCTTGCCACGGTAATATAGGCCACCTACATGTGTACTACACAGCAATGTTGGCTACATATGTGTACTGCATGGTAATGTTGGCTACCTATGTGTAGTACACAAATGTCAGCCCCCTACGTGTGCTACACAGTAACGTTGGCCACCTCCATGTACTACACAGCCATTTCGGCCACCTATGTGTACTACACAGCAATGTCGGCCACCTATCTGTTTACTACACATATTTACACAAAATCTTGTTTTTTCTATCTTATAAAACTAGTGGCGTACAGAGGGGTGGTCCGCCCGGGTGTCCCATTTTTCCTTTATATTGCAGGCGGCATTTTTGGCCAAGGGATGAGTTGTTTTTTTTTGGTTGAAGTGTGCGGCAAAAAGCTTGGCCCTAATCCTAGCCATTCTTCTGTATAAAACAAGACGTCCTATAACTTATCACTGAAATGTTTATTTTTGTAACACAGTGAAAAAATATTCAGGTCCTTTATCGGACCCTTGGTCAACTCTCTGTGTTTAGTCATTTACTGTAACATGTTTACGGTACTATTTTGTAAACATATTATTATATTACAAGCCGTCCACATCTTTACACAATTTATTTTATTTTTTTCCTTTCTTCCCCCCCCCCCCCCCCCAACTGTTGGGGGGGGGCGCGGGGCATTTTCAGGCGTTCCAGTTGATTTATTGTTGGACATATTTTTTTGCTGGTGAGGGGGGGGGGGGCGATATAGCTGAAAGAAACCCTGGTTGCCAGGTAGGCATTTGACAAATCAATATTTAAAAAAATACTAAATATTTACCTCTGTAAATTTATATTAAATTTTGCTTCTTGTCTCAGAAGTCATCTGTATGCCATTTGTATATAGATAGACTGATAGTCATTGTCATTCCGAATTATTGGAAGAAATTATTATTTTTTTCTATGAAGCACATACTGGCGACTTTTTTTTTCTTATTTTTTCGAATATGAACATTTAATAAATAGGTCTGTCAATCAGTTGTTTACTTTTGTGGGACAAGGTGTCTATTTTTGGGGAACAATTATCCAGAACCCAGGCCAGCTAGCTAGGTACATGCCTCCATCATCAGGGAGTGGGGGGGGGAGGGGGGCAAGATGACCCCAAGCTAAAGTTTTAGTTTAACTAATTTGTTAAAGTTAGTGTGCAGCCTGTGAGATCATTCTGTGGCTTATAAGTGAAATGAGCTATTCCAGGGGGGGGGGGGGGGGTTGGTGAGCTATTCCAAAAGTTGATGGAGTGTTGTGAGTTTTTCAAGAAGAAGGTTTTCTATGATGGATATAAGAGTTTTTTTGTTTTTTTTGTGTGGTCATTAAGTTAACTGTGACCTAAATTAGAAAAAATGTGATTCTTTTACGCCTGACATTGCTCCTGTTTGCATTGTGCCCATGGTAGTGACTTTAGTCGGCAGCAGAAATGTGTTGGCACAAACAAGGTCCTGTATAATAATGAATGTGGTGTCCTTAGAACTAGAACATTTTTGTTAAAAAAAACTTTGTGATTGTGATCTTTACCAAATATCTCCACAAGAATATAATAAAAATCCAAAATATCTTTAATGAAAATGTGTTAATGTGTTGTTTATAGAGCTTTTCTCACACCAAACCCCCCCACCCCCCTTTTCCTTCCCACACACACACACACATCCTTTTTATAATTAGTTAAATTTTACTACTGATGTTGAGAAAAATAATTCTCTCTATGAAAAAGTAGGCATTTGTGTATCTTTTTGTTTAAACCCATTCTCAAGCGGTCTCAAACTCTCACACTACAAGTGCCCCTTCAGTTACTTTATTACGTATGCATTTTTACCATGGCAGGGGCACAGTTTGTTGATAAGAACTTTCCATTCATCTTGGTCCTGTGCGTTCCTTTCCAGTTGCTTACAGATGTAAAAAAAAACTACATTGTGAAGAGACTTCATAAGAGAAACATAAGCTATGTCAAGTACATTAAGTGGAATGAAAATCCCAGTCCCCCCCCCCCCCAATAAAAAGCCACCAGCAAAGAAAAAACCCCCCC